CAGGAATTTGGACACTGCTTTGTCTGTTTATCCCAAAATAAGAAAGAGGAAAAAGCTGCACTGACTGAGGACCAGGATGTTTTAAAAATCCTTTTAGCTGGACTGATTTGTTCACTGCAACACTGGTTTGCATCAACCAAAGATTGCAGGTTTTCCAATCAAAACATAAATAAAAGGGGAGTAAAATGCAAGATCAAGGCACCAAATCCCAACTCTGCCCTGAGGGTTATCACTGGTTTGGTTGGTAGTTCATGTCAGGTGCTGGCAAATCTCCCAGTCTTCTCCAAAGGTGGCACCCTTACCTGCTTAACACTCAGGTTTACTTACAAGGAGAACAGAGGGGGTTGGCAGTATAAAAATCCAGGAAGAGCAACCCTTCTGAAGCCATCTGGTCCAAGTTAGGAGTTTCCTTAGAAGGCTCTCCAAAAGCTCCCAAATCACCCCAACCCATCTGTAAAAAGATGTTAACACAGCAAAAGATGTAAAAGCACTTTTAGTCCTTCACAAGAATGCTTCTGGGCCCACAGAACATTTCCACTGCACCCCTTCATTTCTCAGACTTGATAGTGCTCATTTATAGTGCACTGTTTAGGGAGCACTTCACAAATGTGATGAAAATTATCACCCCCAACCCAGTGGAGCAGGAAACTATCACAGCTTTCATTAGAAAATGGGGAACTGAGGCAGATATGAGATTACCTGCCATGCCAACAGGCATGAAAACATTTGTAGCAGAAGTGGGTAAGAACCCTCATGCCTTTGCTCTCACTCAGGAGCCTGAGGAGTGATCAGCACACATACATACACCACGGAGGACAAGGAAGTTGCACACAATATGCTCAGTGTTGTGCAGCTGCAAAGCCTGACCCTCCAGTCCCTGGCTATGAGTCTTTTGTGTTGGCCCCTTGACCCCAGGTCTCCACCTGAGCCTGCTGCATCCATGTATCTACCTGCACCTAACTGGCAAGGCAAGAAGGTCAGACATCACATGCTGTGCTGCAGGGAGAGAGAGACAGTCTTTCTTTTAAAAGCAAGCTCTGGAAAGAAACCTGCCAGAGGCATCATATGTCCCTCTGCTTATTTGCAAGCTGGTGGTTTCACCCTGTGTCTTCCTCCTCATTCAGAGAGGTCTCACCCCAGGAGAACCATAAAGTCACCCTCACATCGCCTGCATTCATTGCTGAAACTATTACTGGTGATAACACAAATAAAAGGAAGAGACTTGAAACAGAAGGTTCTAGAAGGGAACAACTTAATGAGCAATTAGGCACCGTGGTTGCTAGAGATTATATTATGCTCTAAAAAAGGCAATAGCTTGCTTTAATACAGATGCACTTCAGGTGAGCAACTGAGAAGGAGGGCATAATGCACCCAGAGCTTTAGAGAACCATCTGTCTGGTCCCATCTGAGAGCCTAACGTTTACTCTGCAGTGGTGCAGTTTGGGAAAGGCAGTAGTTGGAAAGCAGCAGAGCCTGCTGCTGAGCTTTGGGTGAGGGGCAATTAAACGGTACCACCTAACACCAGGATGTGGAATGAAAATGCATCCAGCACCATCACCACCAAGTGCTTGATTCTTACGTATCTTTATCATCCACGAAGGAAGAAAAAAGAAAAGAATCTGATGCTCCTCTAATTCATACACAGTGACAGTCACAGAAGTTACTGGAGGATCAAAGGAAAAAGACCATGGAGATGTATTTTTAATGAAGAGCATATTAAATAAACCAATAGTTCACAGAAGCTCCAGTCAGGATCTGTGCCTCATCATGTCTCCTGCTGTACCAACACTTCTGGAGTGGAATAATCACTGTCCCAAGGAGCTTTCATCTTGAAAATTACAAGTGCCAGCTTGAGGGGAAATATTCCTGAATGGAAAATTGAGATGGACTGCTGGAGGCTCAACTGGCCAGAAAAACGAGGCTTCTGAGGTAATCATCTTGTGCAGGAGTGGAGAAACACTATGAAAACTGCAGCCAGAGTTGGACTGGCAGAGGGAGCCAAGCAGGGGAGAAGAGCTGGCCACCCTCTGAGTTACACCCCCCTCATCAGTAGTTTAAAGTGGCACACAAGACTCTTCTGCTACAAACACACCACGAAGAAGACATGACAATGAAACAGGAAGATGGCAGCAACTTGAACATACTTGAAATTGATATATTCCCTTATGCACAAGGCTAAAACCACTTCACAAAAATGAAAGGACTTCTAGCTGGATACAAATCTATGACTATTTCTCTGAGGAGACCCCAGAGCAGCCTTCCAGCACCTGCAGGGGCCCTACAGGAAAGCTGGAGAGAGACTTTTTATGAGGGCTTGTAGCAACAGGACAAGGGGTCATGGCTTCAAACTGGAAGGGGGTAGATTTAGATTAGACATGAGGAGGAAATTCTTTGCTGTGGGGGTGGTGAGACCCTAGTCCACCTTGCCCAGGGAAGCTGTGGCTGCCCCATCCCTGGCAGTGTTGAAGGGCAGGTTGGATGGGGCTTGGAGCAGCCTGGGCTGGTGGGAGGTGTCCCTGCCCGTGCAGGGGGTGGGATCTAGATGATCTTTAAGGTCCCTTCCAACCAAAACCATTCTATGACTGCCCTCTTGCCCTCCTCTCTGCTCAGTTCAGAGAGTAATAATTAGCATAATTAGCTTTCTAACTGTTTAAAGTTCTTCTCGTTTAGTTTTTTAGGAAGTAAGCCTGAGTTTCTAAAACATTTCCTGAAATGTACTACAGTTTCTCTGCCTACACTGCAGCTCTGCCTTTTGCAGCACTACTGCAACTACATCCATCACTGCTACTACAAGATACTGCCACAACTCTTTGTGTAGGCTACAAAACCAAGCTCTAACTTCAGAATTATTCTGTCAAGTTTGTAAATCACCAAGACACCCTGTTTTTCAACATTTACCAGTCAGCAGAATCCTTTGCCAAGGACTTGGGAGTTAATTGCTCAGTCATTATGAATGGACTGCAAGGTAAGATGAAATAGTCTTCTAGATAAGGTATGTAGGTGTGTAAGCACCAGTCCAAAGGAATTTCAGATGGGCTTGACTTTACAGATCTGAGAAGTCTCAGTTGTTTTCAACAGGACATTCACTGACTAGAAATACCAAGAGGTTTGTTTTAATTCTGCAGTGTAAGGAGAGCTGGGCAGGGGCCTGGGCCTTCCTTTCAATTCTACACCACTTTATTACACAAAATCTGAAAAAGATTCAAGAGAAAAAGAAACTGAGCTTTGCATTTAACTTACTTAAATATTCCTGCTTACTCCAATCAAACTTTCCACATCATCACTTTAACCCATGAGCTCTGCCTGAATCACTGTGCTGACCATGAGCCACGGCACAAACCCTGCCCACCTGCCATCCCACAGGCACTGGCTGCCTGACAGAGGGAGTGGATGTAGCACAGAGCAGCAAATAAATGCTCAAGACACGCTCTCAAGTCTTGCCTGGCGCAAGAATGGCCCTGGAGGATGTCCAGAAAGAGAGTGATTTGCAGGATAAGGGCAGCCAACTTGATAAAACCTCTATTTAAAGGCCTCTGCCTCAGCACCAGTGCAGCTTTGGGCCCAACCCACGTGCCACAAGGTTACTGTGAGCGCAGGGACCACCAGCACAGCATCGCCGCCCTGCTCTGCACTCCCTGATTTTCCCAGGCGTCAGCAACGCGCTCCTGCCAGCAGCCCTGCCCACGGGCACCGCTGCTCAGCCCGTGCCCGAGCACCCCTGGCCTGGGCCTGGG